GTAAGTCAGATATCTATGAAATACTCTCATAGCAGGATTCTTTAACTTTGTAGATTTACACCTATGTGGATGGTAAATCCCTATCCCAGAAACATCCATCCAAGCTTGTTTGGAATCCCACGTTCTAGATACGTTATCTAAACCTTCAAAATCAAATCCTATCCAAGTTGCTAAATCTTGTGGTCTCACTACAAAGTTATGATTCTTTAATCTAAAAACATTGTATACGTCGGAAACTCATCAGTATCTGTCTCCACAACTTCCAAACTACCAAAAAACTTATAGATCAAATGCTTATATCCATCATATCTAATACTCATCAACCGGTCCCATTTCAAATTATGAATCCAACCATTCATTTCATCATCTAAACCCAAACTTGTTATAAGTCCTCAATCCAAACTTCTTCCAAGGCAAATATCTCTTTTTGACATCTCCTCATATTGCTTTTTATGTCGCGAGTCTTGAAATTGGATTGTAGATGACAATGTGCCTTCATGAGGAATGGTTGTAGTTTTTACTCTCACCATTTTCTACTTTCTTCTAAAATCTATATACATAAAAAATTCATCATCATAATCAGTCATAACTAAAGAAGATTGAAAGATGCAAAAGTGTCAATAAGAACATGAATCTCAAAAAAAACCTATATAGAATTATAGTTTGTCTGCATTCATCACTTTTTAGGTTGATATTTAGAAGAAGTTAGTTATGACTCATCACAAAAAAAGCAACCATTTTCCTCACTAACTCATCCTCAAATTCATAATATCTTCAAGAAAATTATCATTTCACTTCAAATCATCTGTTTAATATTTTGTGTTCTGCTACTAGATCCCACCCTTCCTTTTTGGGTCCATCCTTGTTAATGAGATCAAAATTATCACTTATAATCGCACTGCTACCAATACATGACCAGTTTATTAACAATACCAAAACAATTTGTTTAATAACTCACCAGCCTAACAAACACTCAAACCAGATTTTAGTTGTCAAAAAACCATCCACAGGTCTGGGGCCGAAAGTTGGTCCCCCTACGCCCTTATACAAATGAAACTTGGTTCCCCTTCAGGTAAAGTCAAAATCCTAGTCTCATCAAAGCCAAACACCTTCACAGGATTAAATGCTAAGGTTACAAATGAACTTGGCACTGCACCAAAAATGCTGACAATCCATATAAGTAGAGAGCATAATATGCTTGAGATTTTCAAGAGAACCTGAGAGCTACAAAGACACATAAATCCAGACTTCAGGATAGATTACCTTTATTTCTCAAACTATTCTTCACAATGCCAGAGGTTTGTCCATGTAACAGAACTTTGTTTATTTAGAATCAAACTAACTAAAGAGAATTAAGCCATCCAAAAAAGAGATTTTCATACAATCATGTCGAACAAAAGATTTATCTATCTGATTTGAAATGCAAATCTAATGTTTTAGCATTGTACTCTATCAAATTAAATAACTTTCTATTAGATCACACACATTGATTTTCTAATTATTTCTCTGTGCCATTTTCAACTTGAACAACATGACACCTACTAGAAAATAAGCACTGTAATCAAGAAATATGGGGTAAATCCAATCTGCAAACATATATTAGTTTTATTCTTTACATTTTCTCTATAACAGTAAGTCATATTTTCTAAGGTGGAATGTAAAATCTGGTATCCAGGTTTTGAGATGAATCCTGTTCCTAAGATTTAGGTTGTGTGAGCTAAGGCAGTAGAAATTAATAAGCTAAAGATTGTTTGTGGACAGTGGCTATATATTGTTCTAAGTGACGAAACTAAAGTATTAAGAAAACGTAATTTAAGAAAGTTTGGTTCTATATGAGTCTCTGGCATGACTGAACTAACAAGAGCATTTGCTATGCGTCTGGTTACCATCAGATGAATATTCTGAGCAGCAGAGATGTGTGGTGAAGAGGAGGATGAGTGGAGTGCTAGTGTCTTTTTGCTCAAGGTTTTTCTCTTCATGCTGCTACTAACACTGACACCACCAATCCTTATTTAGACCTAGATAATCCTTGCTGCTTTTTCTTTTCTACATCAGCCTAAATCAGATTACTCTGTTTTGCCATCCTCAACCAATTCACATGACAGTAGACTTGCCATCTCATCTTCTCCCATCTTACGTAATTCTCCACATCCTCCTTCACTAAACCTGGAAGTTGATCTTCAGGATTATAATACACTAGCACTCCACTCATCCTCCTCTTCACCACACATCTCTGCTGCTCAGAATATTCATCTGATGACAACTAGACGCAGAGCAAATGGTCCTGTTAGTTCAGTCATGCCAGAGACTCATATATACAATGGACTAAATTAGTCTCTAATGATTGCCCATTCAGTCTTACCTAATTTACTGATAATGTGGATTGAGACAGCTGAACTTAATAGTGTACATTAAAGACTAAGTATATACCAGGGCTGGCATCCTAGTTAAGTAGCGTCTTTTAGGATAGTGCAAAGTCGAGAGGTTTAAGTCCTTGGATGCATTCTTGAAAAAGTTTATGAAACTAAAGAGCAAGGTGATAAGAGGTATTGAAATGGACTGAAATGGATGGAAGTTAACTAAGACCCAGCGTTTCAGNATAGAAAAGACAATAAGACCAAGAAGCAATTGGAATATGTTACAAGCAAAACTTCATATGTCACCATATTTGAATGATACTCTTTTAGTGCTTATAAGGAGTCTTCCATTTGATTCCAACATACGACCGTAGATTTGCAATTGAAGCAATGAATATATCTATTTTCCTTTCATTGTAATTCTTAAATTCTCAGCATTTAAAATAAACTAGAATGAGGCATAATACAGAGCATTCGAAGTATTTAAAATACACTTTCAAATTTCCACTAATATTCTTCCTTTAAAAATTGAATCTCTTAAAATATATACTTTATTTAAAATTAAAAGCTATAGGTAAAGGAACCAAAATGCCACTAATGTGCACCATTCATAAGAGCTTATACAAACGACCTTCAAAGAGAACAGATCACACAACCAACAAAAATGTAAGCTTTTTCCAAGCCAAAAACGCTCAAAACAGAACACTTCTATTTATCAATCACACAAACCAGTCTCACCAAATTGACTGGATTTCTCTTTATCAACTCAACTCCATTCAACACAAATTTCAAATCCAACACATTCATCCAACATAAAAATAAAATAAAAATAAAATAAAAATAAATAAAAATTGAGAAACCAAAGTGACTAATTACCAATGGTAGATGAGGAACTTGAAGAATCACCACGGCAGATGAGGATCTTCGACGAAGAAGAAGAGCGCGGCAGATGAGAACTTCCAAGAAGAAGAAGAGCGCAGATGAGGAAGACGAAGAAGAAGACCGCGACTGTGTTTTGATTTTAAAAACTTCCCCCAAATTTTTTAACCTAATATATTTAAAATTTTTCTTTTAATTACAGTGCGGACGCCCGTCCAAAACTAAAGGACGGCCGTCCCTTATTTATGGACGGCCGTCCATTCCTTATGGACGAGCGTCCATAAATAAGGGACGGGCATCCATTCCTTACGGACGCTCGTCCACACGTTAGGAACGCCTATCCACAAGTTATGGACGGGCGTCCGAAGTTTTTTTTTAAATTTTTATATTTACATTATGGACGAGCGTCCCTTATTTGCGGGTGCCCGTCGAAAATATAGGGACGGCCATCCATAATTGATGAACGACCGTCCCTAATGTTTTTTAATTTTTAAAAACGATTGTTAATGGACCGGCATCCATTAAAACATTAACGTTCGTCCAATCTTTAGGGACAACCGTCCATAACCTATGAACGGTCGTCCCTAATTTTTGTATATATTTTTTATTTCATTTACTGATGAACGAGCATCCTTTAAATGGGGACGTCCATCCATAGTAAATGGACTCCCGTCCATATAATATGGATGGAAGTCCATGTAAGTGAACGGCCGTTCATAATTGATAAACGGCCATTCACTAGAAAAAAATTTAATAACGTGAAACGTGTCTGGTGTGAGTCATGGGACACGTAGGCCAGTGTAAGATTTCGGTGTCAAATCCCGGTGTCCATAACATTATTGTATGTACATATGGATCAAGGTAACAGTAACACAGGCTGATATTAAACTCTTGACATTAAGTAATATTGAGTGTATTTTTTTATCAAGCTTACCATTCAGTGTTGAGTTCAGAGAAAAGTAGCTAGTCCTTATTTTAGTCTATAATTTCCCTCAGCCTCCATTCATATTGGGATAGGTTAGCTTCGAAGTTTTCTTTTCTCAAAATTATTATGATAATTATCCATAAACAATAAGTTATATCAAATGCATATACATTTCCAGCATATTTTCATCAATTTAACATGCAATCTGGAAATTGTCATCACTTTCTAATGTCACCAAAAAGCCAAAAATTCAGTTGAAAAAAGAAACAAACTATAATTGAAAATATGATGACAGAAATTTTCCTCAGTGAAATTATAAACTCAGCCACTAAAACAAATTTATTTACAATGTAGGGTATCGCCAATATGCAGAAATAAGAGATTCTGATATTGATCTCTTGAAATTACTAAGACTTATACAAGCTAACATAAAATAATAATAATAATCATAATAATGTATGAAGTTGTTATTTGTTAATTAAGGCCTTCTATGGAAAATGATAAAATTGAGTAGCATCTAATACTTTATATGCTTTTTGAACTCTGAATTTGACATCAATCATTCTATTGTAGTTAGTGCTACAGAAATCACCAACTGACTTCGCCAATCTAAACTTTGCATAAAATGCTACTAAATACAAATTGCAACGAGAATCTAGTGACTATACTATTTAGAGGTTCAAGCTTTATACTAGCACATTCAAGTATGAGAATCTTGGTAATTTTTATAATATTATGTAAAAACTATTATCCATCCACGCAAGTGCACACGTTAGAGATTAAAAGACGCTAAAACAATAGTTCTAAAGATCACTGAATCTTGTATATATATATATAAGACGAATCAGTACATTACATCATAAGGGAAAACGAATAATATCTAGGAATATATTTAGCAGAGACACCAAACCAAATGCTGACATCTGATATTTCAGTAAACCTCAAGAAAGCTGCTCTCATAGATGATTTTAGCATACACTTGAGAACTGTCATTAGGATTGATCCTATACTCAGGCACTCATTCACTTCAAATATTTAATCTTCTTTGCCGACTCTATAATGCTTTGGCTAATCTCAGGGTGTTGAAATTTTACCAGTTTCTCTAGTCGAGTAGCAGCTTCCGTCAAATGATCGTCCTTGATACAAGACTCCGAACAAAGACCAAAAAGAACAATGTTGACGTCCTCCTCAAGTTGAAGGCAAAATAGATAGCTAAATACCTAAAATGAATATTACAAATTGATAATTAGGTTATGCAACGTTACTTTCAAGACAGGTCAATAAAAGAAAAAAATAATTATTTAATGAGAAAACTCTGATGAGATGAGCAAAAAAATACAAATGAATCTAATAGAAGACCATGAATCTATATACTATCCATTTACAGATGAGACTGATCAAAATGATGTATTTATATTTGATCTTGAAAATGTCATAGAAAAACTCCATTCTTTTATTTTCACTTTTTTTTCTCATAATTCTTTAGGCTCAAAAGATCTCTGTTATGTTGACGTAACCAAATCTTAGCCACATGCCACATGGGGAAGACCGCAAAATCCTTCTACAACATTTTGGTCCATCCATGGCCAAATCTACCTCACAGCTTGTAGAAATGTTTTAAAACATAAATAACACCAAACAGACCAAAGCTTTAACATCTTATACTTTGACAAATCAGCAGGACAGGAAACATTAAAACATACTACTAAAATTCTCACCGTTTTCATCCTTAAGATGACCATGTCTTTAATGGCTTGGGATCTTGACACCAAATTAACAATAAAGAGACCTTGCTCAGAAATAGCATTTTTCACGGTTAGAAGAAAAGACTCTTCCACAAAATCTGCAGCTGGGCAGGTCATTCCAGAGCTATGCATACAACAAAAAGAAAAAGTAAATGAATATACCATATAATTATACCCAAAAAAAAAAAAAAAAATCACCCTCTTACTCTTAACAGTTTCTCAACAATAATGGAAAAAAATTGCACTAAAATTCAATTGCATTCACCTTGAATTGGAGGAGTCCACGTCAATAATAAGAACATCAACTCTGCTACTACCAACAACTTTTGTACTAGACGCACTGCAACTTCCATTGAGAGGAAGTCTCGTGTTGTCAGAAGCATTGAAATTTCCATGAACAGGCAGTTCATCAGCTGCAAAAGAGTTTGTGATTTCTCTAACAAACTGAATCCCATCAGCAACATGTACCTGAATCATCATAGGAGAATCTACTTGAGCATAAAATACAATAACAAGACAGCTACAATAACAAGAGTTAAGATATTTCAGTTTAAACAGTAATGTGAGTTTCTTAGTCTCAATAAAGGATTTACAAAAAGTTTTTTCACATTCTTAAAACTGTAAAATAGATGTAATTCTTTATTCTAGTTAGGTCCTCTAAATACTTTCTATCTTATCCTGCAGATGTCATTGAGGAATCAAATATGATATTATGGCAGATAAATAAAAACATAAACATGGCATTTAATTGTGGATTTTGCGAAACAGCTGGATAAGTTATATCTTTTCAATGTCCCTTCACCACAATTTCAAAAACATCAGTCTACTATTACTTAAAGAATTATATTTGAACATGTGAGGATACAAACATTCAAGTTTTAGTTGACAAGAATAAAAGATATAAACATGGAATCAAGATCAGCTATTACTACCTTCAAATTTGTATCTTCAGTAAAAGCAAAGTAGTCCCTTGCAAGATTAAGCATGATATCATCTAACTCCACCACCTGCGACAAATTGATTCACCAAATTATGATTGTACCAAGAAGAAAAAAGCAAAAAAAAGAAAAAAAAATAGAGTATATTTCTATTACTTCTACTGAGTTTCTTTTCCTCTTTATCTATTTTATACTTTCTCGGTTGGGGGATATTGGTTTGGAAAATTTACCTCAATGTCCAATAAGGGCATACATGCACGAAGAAACATTGGAAGTACACCAGCTCCAAGACCAATAATAACTGCTTTAGCCTGGCAAAGATATTGTTTAGTTTAAGCAAAATTATGGAAATTAATAACTTTGATATCCCACAAGTAAATAATTTAATAATGTCACTAAAGAAATTGCATTAATAATCATTTAAGTGAAGTTACAAATTTTATTTAGCACAGCGAAGACAAAAATCTAGAGGACCATCCACCCTACAAAAAGACAGCCCAAAACGAAATCTACCTATGCATTGTCTGTTTCACGAAACAGAAACATTAAATCTTTAACTTGAAAAAGTATAAGGCAGTCAACAGATTCATGTGCCATACAAACTAGTAAAACCCATGCGCATATCACTTGTTAAATGCAAATTACTTTAATCAAACAGCAATAATGAATACAGGAATTTAGTATCAAACTAAAACCCACAGCCAAGGTATTAGAGACAGCTCCAAAGTGGGAGAACAAAAGATTCTTCAATAAAACAGGGATAAAATCCTTACAGTTTTTGCAGTTGATGCCACACTCTCCAAGTAGGAAGAAATAAGACTAAATCCAGAGATGATTCCCGTATGATAAGAACTAGCCAAATAACCATGATAGACTTTCGGCCGGTTGCCTGAATCTACAGCACCAATGACGAAAAATCAAAAAGAACCACAAACAAATGTGATGACTGTGCAGTGCACCTATAAAATATCTTAATCATACTAGATTTCATGATGCACATGTAAGGAGTAGAAAGTCATAAAAGAGAGACAACATTTTTCATTAAAAGCTACCCCGCTATCTTGCCAAACATTTCAGTTTTTTTCTTATACAAATTTAATAGTACCATCACCGTTCGATCATGGCACCGCTGATAGTAATCAATGAAAATCAATGTTGAAGGATCCAAAACATCATGATCCCTAAGGATCCCATGCAAACTTAAAAGTCCAGAAATGCAAGGTTTAAATCAAATTATTCCACACTTCACTAATTGGATGAACTACCAAACATCAACTACATAGAAATAACCTAAGGCCACCCGTCAAGCAACACAAATTAGCATAGCCGTTAAAATCAATCAACAGCATTAAAGACAAAAATCATTACCATCATTCTGTCTTTGAAATCCCCTTCGCTTGGATTTGGAAGATGAAACAGCTTTCTTCCTATCTGTTTCACTCACAATTTTATGAGAAGATACATCCTTCATCAGCAAAGCTTCTGATTGTACCAGACCCTGAGTTCTTTGGAAGACAAGGCGACGGAATTTCAAATCTTCGGATGGCCATAAGCGACTGATATCAGCATCAACATTTTCATAAACTACATCTTCAACAATTATCGATCCTGTTAATGAAGATGAGACCTACAAGAGAGCAAACAGCAGGAACTTCAGGATAATTCAGACACTATATAATGCTCGAGATCAAAAAGTTAACAGCCAAAAGTTAATCCACTAGAAAGGCCAGTATTGCAATTGGCAGGCATCACAAAAGGGATGGAAATCAAATGATTTCAAGATTAAATGAAGATAGTCAAAATCACAGCCTGTCAGCAAACTTAAAAGAACTATAGTAGACTCACAAATTCAAGATATAGAATTAGAGATTTTAAACAATATGCATTGGTCTTCACCTTCATTGACTGCCTCTTTATTTGAGTTTTCATTAGTAAAGCTTCCCAAAAAAGAATTGTTGGTTATTTGACTGTCAAGCATAACTTATACAAAAAAACAGAGCAATTACATTAACAATAAATAGTATGTGGATATTTTGAAATTTAAAACAAAACATAAAGATATTTTGGACATTTAATATTTTCAAAAAGATAACAAAAGTAGATTAAAGTAGCTTCTTTAGTTCTTGAAAACTCTTTTTTTTTTTTTTTTTCATTACAGCCAAAGAGCCAAAATATTTTAGTTTATTAAAAAAAAAAAAAAAAAAGAATTTATCTTTCTTATATCAAAAAACTTGGTATATTAAAAAATTGGGGTTCAACATCTAAGGACATTTCCTTTGAAATTAAAGTATATCTCAAAAATATATGAGGTACGCTAGTTTGCTAAAAGAACTGGGATTCAGCATCTCGGGACATTTCCTTTGAGATTAAGGTATATCCCAAATAAGTGGGCTCAAGGGGATTTTGACAACAAAGCAAACGTATTAATATTAAAGTACAAAAAACAATTAATAATATAAAACATATTCTTAATGTACTTATTAAATAAAAAATTTAGTAATTGAAAGCAATTTAAATATTAGTAAAATTTGACTATATTCGTTTTATCCTAAGTATCATAGCGCAAAAAATAATATATATATAGACCAATCTATTTAATCAAATTCCAAAGAAATAGTTCAGACCAGTTGCAGGGAAGAACACAAAAAAAGACAATGTAAAAAAACTGCAGAACCTTTGAGATTCTCAACTACCTAACACAATAACCTCAACATGTACATTTATTAATATAACCAGTCAAGTACAATAAACCTTTCAAGTAATCAAGGTAGTCAACGGCCATTAATCATGAAACACTCAATAAAGTAGATTTAGTTTATTAGTGACCTGATGAACAATATTCCGCTGCTTGATCCCATCACTGCCATCATAAACCTGCAGGCACATGTGCACATTTTACCGAATTACTACAAGTACAGCTGTAAAAACTTAGACAACCAAAAATGCTAAACAGATGAACAGATTATTGTTTTAGTTTTATATTAACCAAAAATGTATAGTATCAATTACAGCATCAATTACATGTAAATATGGGAATGAATCCTAGTAATCAATAACAAAACTAATCAGAATTATCATGCACATCGCACCAAGTTCATAAGCATTATGTCTTGTCTATAACAAATTAACAACTTTATCCAAGCATCAACAGCGAACAAACATCATAGGTGTGCTGTTTAAAGTACATGCTGCCATGACTAATAGTCTTCAAACTGATGCATAATAAAATTGCAAGTTTTCCAAGAGTCTTCAACAAACACAAATAGTTGTGTATATAAGACTCATAAGGTATGAGAAATTTTTTTCACAGTCTATACCGAAAAGAGTGTCAATATCACAATCTTAGAAAAATCTCAGGACCAAAGAATTATATAAAAAACCAAAGACAACAATACATTCACCAAAAGCACTGTTTTACGCAGAACACAAGAGAAACTGATTTGGTCCACAAAATAATATGCATCAGCACCAAACTTCTGCTCTAATACGAAAATTAGGATACTACAATAAAAACTTTTGAATATGAAATCAGGGAAATTCATAAAAAGAAGCAAATGCTACAACATACGGTATTGGGCTCCACTTCATTCCCAGTGCCAAAGTTTTACTAGAGGAGATAAGTCCTTCGAAAGATCATGTCATTGAGAACATTTAAATATTAACATTGGTTGGCACGAAACAAATGTCTCATTGACAAAAAAATGAAGAAATTTCTTACCTGGATATCATCCATGCTGGCATTAGCATGGCTAGTGTCCAATAAGACCTTCATTCAACAGATAAATTTCTTTAAAGTTTGCATTTAAAGAGCTCAAAAAGAATCACAAAACAGATTTCCGAGATTTGGCAATTATCTACATAAAAGTACATAATAAGACGTGCAGCTTTGAGCTTTCAAATACAATCCTGTCCTTCTTCTGAAGAGAAGAGCCATTATGAGTCTGAGTTGAAATCTAAAATCGTTTGTTTCAAATAAAGAAACCAATAGCAGACTTGATTTGAGTAACAATTATTATACTTTGTAGAACTTATTGTACCATGCAGTACACAATAGAAGAAAGAACAAAAGAAAACACCTTTGGCACAATAAACACCCCACAGTTATAAATGAATGGACCACTCTTCCGGGCATCAAGAAGTACAGCTCCTAACAAAACTGGGAGTCCCCATGTACACCAGTGCAAGCTCAACCGGACGACCATGACTAAGCTCTTAGATCCCCTTAGCTCCAATTGTAGATCTTCAAGAGGAATACAATATATCAGAGCCATTGGAGTATTCAATACGAATTTGGTTCTCTTTTTCAAGGGCCTCATGAATACCAAATGCCTAAAAAGAAAGAAAGAAGCAGGTAACATCAAAAAAAATTTAAGATTCTCATTCCAAACAAGAGAGATTATATAAGGTGAAACATAATAAGGATATCCACAGCTAAAACTAGGTCGGTCCAAAGGCTAAAAGATCCTGCATGTATTACAATAATTATTACATGAGTAATGCTATAGGCACCGAAAGTAGTACACCGAATTCATGCACCGAATGATGTGGCGCAATCTCCCGTCTATTAATATTAAGTTATAATTATCGAAGGTCAGGATTTGTGCCACGTCATTCGGTGCTTCCTACTTTCAGGACTGTATATGTTCCCTTATTACATATACCGCAATGCATCATGGCTGTTAAACATTAAAAGCTTTCAAATACGTATTAGAAAGAATATAATATTCGTAGAAAATGAATGCTAATGGAATACTTCATCCTTCAGTAAAGACATGGAGGTCAGATATTCTACCTGACTTTTGTTACAATCAAGAGAAGAACGATTGAATGATGATGTTATCTGGTGCAACACAGAAATATCATCTTTCTCTGCGACAATCATAAAGGTTTGAAGACTAGGCCTACAAGATGATTTCAGAGGTATGGGATGAACACACAGTTTCCACCCAAACCGAAACTCAAAGAAAAGCAAAACTGCAAAAGAAAACAATTCAACATTTATCTCAGAATATGCACTAGCAAGTAAACAGAGATGTAGAATACAACAACGAAAACAATTTAATAATTGCACATTCATTCCAAACCCAAAGCTTACTATAAACAGATAACTAAGGCTTAATATTTCCTCAAGATAACTTAAGCAAGCAATAACTTATAGAAAAAAAAGATATGTTTGCTTAACCGAGAAATAGTACCTAGAACATGAGACTCTGCTAAGGTAAGGCAAATAAACTTCCCTCCAGTTTTAAGAAGTCTTTTCACCTGGTGATACAACCCCACTTATGTGAATCCAACAAAGTATTCACTTTTTCTATGAGCAATTGAAGAAAATGAATGAGTACATCCAACAGATGTATGCAAAAACATGAATAAATAAATAGAATCCAAATCAAAGTCCAAGAAACCTCTGATAGATACTGATTCCCCAGCTTGGGACCAAGCTCTGGCTCCATCAAAGCATCCAATCCACCTTTATCAAGTACAACATCAAAACTCTCATCTGTAAACTGGTAAAAGTTGCAACAATGAGAAGAAAAAAAAAAATAAAGAAACAAAGAAAAGAAAAGCAAAACAACAATTATATTGTCAAAAGAAGAAATTGAAGCATCAATCAAAATAAGTACAATTCATTAAGATACACAATTTATCAAAACTGACTAGCAAATATTGACAAGCTAATAATTGAAGCAAGACAAACTGAGACAGAAAAGAGAAAGACTTTGGACATAAAATTCCAAATCAAATCTCTTCAAACGACAATAATTTGTCTCTAAGTAGCATGCTCCAATCTCCTCGAGTAACTTACGTATTTGGATTAGCAATATACTTAACAATGTTTCTAGCAATTCCAATGGCATCATCAAACGATACAGATCTTACATAATAATCTACAATGCAATAGAACACCTTGTTAATGATACTTTAGTTGGAGATCATCTAAGATTCATCAACCAATGTGATATCTCATTTGTATCTTATACACATGTCACAATGAGAGTGAGAGAGTGAGAAAGAGATTGTATTTAGAATTTCTCTTCACCATAATTAGGCTTTAAAACCATCCATAGTTCTTTCCCAAGTGCCACCAGAATTGCAATCCTTACTCATTTAGAAACCTCTATAATACAATTTCTCAATATCTTTAGTGCAAGAGTACCCATATACTACCGTATTCCCATCAACAGAAAGAATATACCATCATTGCAATTCAACCCAAACCAATAAATGCTCGAAAGTAAGCAAACTCATCACAATATCAGTAGTTATGAAACTAAGCCGACAAGCTCAAAACCATCCTCCAAACCCAATCAAATTCACCTACACACTATCAAGATAAAACTTCTTTGACCTCCCCTAAAATCAATCTTACTTACAAATGCATTATTTTCGTTTGAATGTGATTAAGCTAAACCTCACAGAGATGAATTAAGAAAAAAAAAAAAAAAAAGCAAATTAAAAAAAAAAAAATTGCAAAAGATACCTGCATGTTAGTCATATCCATGACCCGCCACCGCATATCGGGTCGGTCCCGGACATTGCGGCGCAACATGTCAGAAATGACAACTTTGGAGAAATCAATATTGGTAATGCCATGAAATCCGGCGTCGTATAAGTGCTCGGAGAGGCGTGAATTTCCGCAACCGGGGACGAGAATTTGGGCAGAAGGAGGAGCGAGAAGCGAGAGGAGCGGGCCGCGTAGCTGAGGCCACTCAGCGTACCACTCGAAGGAGTCGTCACAACCACGGATGGTGAAGAACTTGTCCCAGTTTTCTTTGCTTGTGAAGTCTCCCAGGGTCTGCAGTAGGTCAGATGATGATGATTCATTCTTGTTTTTCTTTCCCATCCTAGGGTTTTGGGTTTTAGGTTTTGGTGTGGGAGAAGAAGGTTTGAATTTTTATTTTTTTTCACCTTATTTTGAAAATCAAAACGAAATGACCAAACTACCCACCTGGCCTTGACTATCAATTGATCAAGATAATCCAGTTTTGTCCTGCTCGTTCAGTCGAAACAAACGAGTGGGGATGGACCGTGGATCAATGCAGTACACTAAGGTCTAACTAAATGAATCGAACACTTTGTGAACAATTCGATGTTTGTTTGATAATTGTTTGACATTGTTCACGAGCAGTTCGATATTTGTTTGATAATATGTTCGATCAAATTTAAATATGGACTATTCGTTCGATTATGTTCGCGAATATTATACGTTCGATTGATCCATTCGTTCGCAAACAATTTGTTCGATTGTTCGTTCGTTTATGTTCAAAAAACATGGTATGCATTATTATAATTTATATTCCTTTTTTCTTTTTTTTTTCAATTTTATATTATATTTGGTTTAGTTTGGATGAATTTTTTTTAATGGTGATCAATAATAAAATATTATGATATTTTTGTTTTTCTTATATATATAATATATTTGGATTTTTTTTTTCCAAACGTCATCAATAATTAAATATATAAGTATATAACATTTTAATTAAAAAGTAATAAATTATTATGATACATAGCATGACAAATTTAATAATATAATAGATTATATAATCAAGTGATATATAATATAGTAAATCCAATAACATAATAACTTCATATTTTTCTAAATGTAATCAATAATTAAATATTATAAGATAGCATTTCAATTAATAAATAATAAATATAGTATGGTAAATTGATGAACATAACATATTGTATAATCAAGTGATGTATAGTATAACAAATTTAATAATATAATAGTTTAGTTAAATATAATATGGTAAATTGATGAATATAACATATTGTATAATTAAGTGATATATAGCATGACAAATTTAATAATATAATAGCTTAATTAAATATAATATGACAAATTTATGAATATAACATATTATATAATCAAGTGATATATAGCATAACAAATTTAATAACATAATAGTTTAATTAAACCTAAATTAATCACACATTTGTATTGATCATATATTACAATAAACTCTCATACAACTATAAATTTATAGGTGTTGATATAAAATATATATATAGACAATAATAATATATAACAATTAATCACACATATGTATTGATTATATATTACAACAGATTCTCATTCCACTATGAACTTATAGGTGTTGATACAATATATATATGTAAACATTTAAAATAATTATGATAATTTATATAATAATAATAAATATATGATAACCTATAATTTTGATAATTTCATAACATATTTATCCTATGATTAATATATGTATGATAATAATTTTATATATACACAATTACATATATATGTGTGTGTGTGTGTGTGTGAGTCTATGCAAATTACAAATTCCTTTTATTTGTGTCATGTTTGATATGGAACCAAATTTGTTTTGAATGATTTATTGTTCTGTTAAATTTATTTTGAAGTTTTATTATTTATGATGGTTAGTTATTTTAATTTACTGAATTTTTATTGATTTATTTAAAATATAAATTTAGATAGAGAGTTTGTTTATTTTCAAATATTGAATTAAATGGGTATGAAATATAAATTGTTGTATATTTGTTTTTTAGAGCATAAATTGGAAAGTTAGTGTATATTTTTTATTCGAACAAGTATTTGAACGAGTTATTCTAACAGGTATTTACAAGTTATCGAACGAGTTATTCGAACAGGTATTTACAAGTTATCAAACGAGTTATTTGAACAAGTATTTACGAGTTAGTCGAACGATCACGAACTGACATTTTGTTAATCGAACGAACACGAACAGTCATCATGTGTTCGTTCGAGTTCGAACACGAAATCAAACACCCTTTCATGCTTATCGAACGAATTTCGAATGGGGCTGTTTGCTCGTGTTCGGTTCAATTGCAGGCCTAGGTCTAAAGGTGTCTTTCGAGCGCCACATTGAAAATACTAAACTAAATTAACAAATATTATTATTATTTAAAAATAAATTTTTGAAATATTTAAAAAAAAATTATAATAAATATTTTAAATGAAAATTTGAAAATAAAAAAAGTTTAACACTGACCAATGGGGTGGTCAGTGTTAAACTTTTTTTCATTGAAATTTGGGCTTAGTCTACGACGACACATTTGACATCATCGTCACTGCCGTTAGATAGATCATCAAACGATGTATCCAACAGTGGAAATAGAGAAGCTGCTAGCAAAGGCGTTTTCTTAGAAAATATCGAAGAATATTTTGGCTCACTATCGCCAACAACATCCTTAGAAGAGCGGTCGACGATACCATCAACACCGTTGGGTAGATCGATCGGCAATCTACCCAACAATGATAACAACGAGACATCTGGCAACTTCATTTGGCAAAAAATACCAGAAAAAGATTCGGCAACACTGTTAATCATTCATCACATGCATAGTGAAATGCAATACTCTCCAAGATTTTTTGACCGAATTGAATTGTACTGTACAAGAAAATTTTGTAAAGAAAGGTAAAATTGTATTATCATACAGTGTTAGTTTAATATCTAAATTAAGAAATTTGTTTCAGTACAATTCGGTTTTATTGGTTTTTTTTACTTGGAGGCTTTTTGATATTTTAGTGGAACTTTTAATATCTAATTTTAATTTTAGTTTTTTTTTTTTGGTTTCATTTGAATGTTTTTAGCTGGTGTTTGTCCTTTTATTTTATTGTTTTGGTTTCACAATTTAACACTCTTCACCACCCGTCCGTCGCAAGCTCCATCTCCGTTTGATAAAGAGACAGCCTAAAAAGGAACCAACTTCTCCATCAGAAGGGATGGACCATTAAATATAATGTGGCACATCAGGATATAGGAAAACATGCAAACCATTTTTCAATCTTTCATTAAGACGTTAAAACTCTTTAGTCAGGTTACCTTGAAGCCACATTTGACCACGTGGCTTTCATGTGACTCTTTAATTAGCCTTTCCCCTCCATTTAGCATAAATGACCTACTTATGAAGAGAAAATAATTTACTTTCTCATTTTATTACTTGTGTAAGTGAGGGTGAGCTAGAGGATTGCCATTTTTTCTATCGAAGATTCCGAGCAAGCACAGTGATCAACTTATTATTCACTGTAATCTTTCACCTGATCTTTTCTCACTTTTAATTTTAGTGTATTGTTTTGTCATTTGAATGTTTTTTGCCTTTTTTAATGTTTCTATTTTACTGTTTGACACTCTCCTCCCCTTTTTCTTCGTATGTTCCATCTCCTTTAAATAAATAAACGGCCTAGAAATGAACCAGCTTCACCAATATCAAACGATTTCAATTTGTTAGATGATGCAATGCGACAAAGAGGGTTGGGAGTAAGAGTGCGGTCATTGCATTCAGTGCATCCAAACGTGGGCAAACATGCGAACCATTTTTTCGTCATTCTTTGGGACATTACGACTCTTCGTGCAATTTCCTTGAAGCGACATTAGACCACAAGGCCTTCATGGGACTCTTCAATCAGCCCTTCCCCTCCTTTTAGTATATGTTGAAGTGAAGCCGCAAAAACGCTGTTGCATAGTGCTTAAAGTGACTAAGTTGTGCGCTGCCGTTTTAAGATGCTTGGGAGAATGTTGATCATCGATGGCAATAGTAATCCAAGAGTAATACTAGCCTTACAAAAAGGCATACAAAGAGACAACATTATACAAGCAACCCCAAATTGCAGATTTTATATCAGTCTTCTTCTCTCTTTCGGGAAAAAAGCTAGTGCTCTCATAATTTTTCTATTTTTCAATCCAAAATCAGTGTAGTTTCTGTGCGTGAGTGATTATTTTTTAGTCATTCTTTGAGGGTTGTTTATTCTCTCAAAGTTTAGAGATACAAGGGAGAGTTTCTCTAGATTAAGAGTTACAAAGTGAGTTTTGGATGTGAATGAATGAAAGATTGATTGGTCTTTATTCTTGTAAACTATAAGTTCTTGATTAATTAGTGCAATGAGCCCCAAATATTCTAGAGCTTAACGTAGATATAATCTATCCAATCTTGGATAGGTGAACCACGGCAAAAACCTTGTGTCTGTTCTTGATTGTGTTATTGTGTAGATTGTTTTGGGTGTGTGATTAATTGATATTGAAGATTGATTATTAGGCTTGGATCTTAACAGTATAAATGCCGGAAAAGGAAATAGTTTACTTTCTCTTTCATTCGATTCTCATTTTATTGCTTTTGCAAGTTAAGGTAATAAGGTAGAGGATTTTCCTTTTATCCAGCGTGGTGATCATCTCATTATTCACAGTAAGCTTTCACTCAATGCTCCTTTACTTTTAATTTCAGTGTAACGCTTTGTTTCATTTGAATGTTTACTGGTGTTTGTTTCTTTTTTAAAATTTTGGTTTTACGGTTTGACAATCTCCTCCTCATTTCATCGCATTCTCTATCTTCTTTAGATAAATGGATAGCTTGGAAAGGAAACAACTTCATCGTTGGATGATTCCAGTTCGTTGAATCGTCCAATGCAATGAAGAAGGCCGAGAGTAAGAGTGTGGTCATTGCATTGGGCAAGCATGCAAACCATTTCTTCCTCTTTCGTTGAGACGTCGCAGCTCTTCGACCGATTACCTTAAAGCGGAATTGACCATGTGCCCTTCACATGACCCTTCAATTAGCCCTTCTACTTATTTTAGTATAAATAACTTAGATAAGGAAGAGAAAATAGTTTACTTTCTCTTTCTTTCAACTCTCATTTTATTAGAGTGAGGTAGAGGATTTCTGATTTTTTTAACGTTTCAGTTTCATAGTTTGATACTCTCTTATCCACTTTCGTCGAATGCTCATTCTCCTTTGGATAAATAGATGACTTGGAAAGGTGCCAACTTCACCATCAGATGATTCTAGTTCGTTGGATAGTTCAATTGAACGAAGAAGAAGGTCAGAAGTGACAGTGCGACATTGCAT